ATACGTCTGTCAATTGTGTTATCTGAAAGCGGGACACTGGCTATTTCCCGCGTCAGGGCCGAGCAATCTCATTCACAATGACTTTGCAGGCAGGTAGTATTAATGTCTCTGCTACAGTGTGTGGTCTTTGGGATTTGGCTATAAGTTCAGCTACTAAGTAGCTAGCTTTGAGAGCTCTTTCAGACACATTTGCGTTTTTTCTCATTAAAGTTACCTGTTTCTCAGCGTGTTCATACAGGCGAACAAAATAGCCTGTGTTCTTGTTTTGAAGTGAGGGATGTTTTGTGTAGAAATGGCGTTTAAGCTTGCTACCTTGGCACTGTTTAAGAGCTTTTCCACACACACCAAAAATAACAAAGTCGTTGCACTCGGATCTCCAGTGAAAGTAATTCCAAATGAAAGATAACTTTCGCTGTACATTGCCTCGAGCTCACCGTTTTTGCTTCTTGATTAGAATGTTGTCCAGGGCCCAGTTCAGAGCCCTTAGTTTTTGATTTCAAATATTTATCCATCTTGGTTGTAAGTCTATTTCCAGTCCATTTTAAATCTTTACTGATTTAAAATGGACTGGTTCAGTGGTTCAGTGTTTGTGCAGATCTACAAATTAGATCTGCACAAACTTAAGTGACAGAGTCCGGTACCTGGCACAGAGAAGGCTCTGTTGCCATGAGATTTAGGTTTAGACCATGAAATCGATAACATCCGTTTCAAACAGGACCTCATGGTTCTTTCTGGAGCATAAATAAATAGATCATAATAATAGCTCAGATAATAATGGTAGTGTAGTAAACTTAACATGACAAATAGTGTCTTTATAATGTTGATTAATAATAATGATTCACTTGCAAGGCTTCCACAGTCGATGATCCATGTAGGAACGTGTTTCCAGCTACTGTGGAGGTCACGTGTTTCCGGCTACTGTGGAGGTCCCAATATGGCGAAACTCTGGAACAGTCTTCCCCCTTTCATAAAATCCTCTTCATCCTTACAAAACAATGGCAACAGGTCTTACTGAATGATATACACACCACCGCAACCAAGTAGTTCCTGTGGTGGGATGCACTGATTCACAATAAACAGGTTTTGAAGAGGCCTATACAGGTGGATAATAGACAGTTTCTGTAAAAGTCTGTGATGAAGTGTGTTGTGGCCTAGGGGACACAAAAAGGCTAAAGCTACATGTACCCAATGAACAGGTAAAAACAAACAAAAAACAAAGACTCAAGAGTTTGCTTTTTTTTTTTTACAACTCTCAACATTTAAGTTGATCAGGTTAGAAACAGAAAACTCAGTCACTTTATTTGCTAGAACAAAAACAGCCAACACTCTCCGACCATAGCAACCCAAGAATCAGTCGGAGTAACGGCTCACTCATGCACAAGAATAGAAGAAATAGTCTTAATGATTGTGGTTGGAACTTCAGGGAGCCCAGTGAAATGAGCTGTGGCTGTGAGAACCCCACTTTCTACTGAATGAGGGAACAGCTGGAATGGAGGTTGCGAGCTCCTCATCCTCTGCCCACAACACTGCCAATGAGGAGGCCGGAATTGGCAGCTTTACTTCCAACAGACCAGTCAGGACAACCTCCCATTGAGCTGGGAAATAGCCATTTCCAGACTGAAGACCTAAGTAGCAACTGTGTCGAAGCTGGAAGGCTTGGCAGCAAAGTGTTAGTGAGTACCAAAGGTCTAATAAACCATAGGAGAGCTCCTGATATGTGACTCGAACTAATGATACTGCCTCCACCGTCAGGACCTAGGCTTTCAGGTTGATGCACTGGCCAAGAACAAGTTAATAGTGAGGCTTGGGAGCGGGTAGATGGCACAGCTGGGTTTGAGGATTGTAACAGCGACAAGCCAGCTCATGAGGAGTACTCAGACAGGGTAAAGAGGTAAAAGTGCAGCAGCAGGTTGGAACTGTTTAAAAACTCAAAAACTGTTTTGAAATCACAATGATTTCAAAACGTTTTTTGTTGCATCTCATAAATGACAAATGGTTCTGTTTTGGCAGTATATTGCGTTTTTTGAGATACTTCGTAAGCAACTTTTGTTAATGTCTGCGTTTCAGTGTGTGTGCATGTATGCTAGTTAATTGCCACAGCAAGGAGAGAATGGTGAACACTCTGATTGGCTGTTGGCCCCTGGTGGAATCATTCTCCTCCCATGCAGGTAACGCATGCCCTGGCCGGAGGACTTTTTAACAAATAGATTTCTTCAATTTGGGATGTTTACCATTCCAAATAAATGAAGTGATTAGTGAGTCTAGAGATTTAAAGTTTAGAGTTTGATCGGGAGAGATTATAGCAGGAAAAATGTTTTCCAGCCTGTGCGCCAGTAGCTTAGACAGAATTTTAACATCCGTGTTTAACAGAGATACAGGCCTATAAGAAGCACAGTCCTTGCCCTTCTTAAGTAACACTGTGATACAGGCCTGGTAGCATGAAGGAGGAAGTGCTCCAGAGTCTAGCAATTCTGCAAAAACTTTGCAAAGGAAGGGATCCAAATCATCCAAGAATTTTTTTTATAAAAGTCTGTAGAAAATCCATCAGGACCTGAAGATTTCCCAGATTGCATAGATGCTATTGCCACCTGAATTTCTGCCTTTGAGACAGGGGCTTCCAGAGTCTGTCTGAGCCCTGGGGGGAGCGAGGGCATATCAATGGAGTCAAAGAAACCATGCAAATCTTTTACATTAACAGTAGATTCAAATGTATATAAAAAAATGTCACCACTCCATTGTCCGCCCTCACTCCGGTTATGATTTGTTTAGCCCTAATACCACGCAGTCGAGTGGCCAAAAACTTACCGGTCTTTGCACCATGTTCGTAAAAATCGTTCTTGTTTCTAATCAGACATTCTTCCACTTGTCGAGTGGAAAGTAGGTTGAGTTTGGTTTATAGACTTAAGCGTTCTTTGTATAGCGCCGGTGATGGTGACTGAGCGTACTGCCTGTCGATGTTTAAAATCTGGTCTGAAATAAGCCTCTGCTCCCGCTGTGCACACTGTCTTTTAAATGCTGCCACTGAGAAGATTTCTCCTCTCAGGAATGCCTTCAGAGCTTCCCACACCGTCCTGTTTGGCATACCAGGTGTTCTATTCTTGTTAAGAAAAATTTTAACTTTAGAAGAGATGTTAGAAACAAATTGTTCATCCGTGAGCAGCAATGAATCCAATCTCCAGAGCTTTCTCACAGAGTCGCAGCCCTGAAAAGCTATTTTGAGCACGAGGGGGGCATGATCAGAGACAGTAATGCTTTCATAGCTGCAGAATCCAATACTATTAATTAGCAAATTATCAATAAAAAAATAATCTATTCTAGTGTAGGTGTGGTGTACATGTGAGAAGAAGGAATAGTCTCTACCAGTAGGGAACAAAAACCGCCAGGGATCTGTGAGACTATAATCTTCAAGAAAAGACTTGACATAAGTTGCAGATTTGTTAAGAGTAGCAGGTTTAGGGGATGAACGATCTAAAACCGCATCCAAATAAAGATTAAAATCGCCAGAATTAAAGAGTGAGTATTTAAGTCCAGGAGGTGTGAAAACAGGCATAGAAAAAATTGCACATCATCAAAATTGGGTGCATAAATATTGGCCAAGGTCACAGACCTGTCGCAGAGTTTGCCAGACACTATTATAAACCAACCGTTTTTGTCTGACACAACAGTGGATGGAACAAATGTGATGTTCCGATCGATAAGAATAGCTGTGCCCCTGGCCTTTGCTTTAAAATTAGAGTGAAACATCTGTCCTGACCAACATTTCGCCAAGCGTGAGTGATCCGAATCCTGCAAGTGAGTCTCTTGCAAAAAAACTATCCCGGGCTTAAATTGCTTCAGGCGTGATAAGGCTCTCTTTCGCTTTATTGGGTGGTTCAACCCCCTCACATTCCAGCTAACAAAGGTAAGATTACCACTCATCAAGGAAGTCCCACATTTTTATGTGCAGAGTTGCCCAAGGAGGGAAGGGAGGGGACGAAAACAACAACAACAACAAAAAACATGACAACCAACCCCACCCCAGAAATAAAATGCAATACAATAACATATCACTGCGTAAAAAAAACAAAAAAAACAATACCACCCACCAATATCTCCCCAGCAGGTTGCAAAAGCAACCGCGTAAGCCCCTGCTTTCTTCCCATACTAGTCCCAGTTTTCAGGACACGAAGAAGAGAAAGAAAAAAGAACAAGAACAAATCCTACCCGTTGTTTCTACGCATGCGCACAACACAAAATTCTGTGGCGAACCGTCCTACCTTTGTGAATATAAGCTACAAACATACTCTGACGGGTAAAATTAAGTGCCAAACCGTCCTACCTTTGTGAATGTGACGTACAAGCATACTTTAACAGCTATAAGTAAGTGGCTAATCGACCTACCTTTGTTAATATGAGCTAGAAACATACTCTGACGGGTAAAATTACGTGCCAAATCATGCTACCTTTGTGAATGTTACCTACAAGCATGCTTTAACGGGTAACATGAAGTGGCTAACCGTCCTGGCTTTATGAATGTGAGCTACAAGCATTCTCTAATGGGCAAAGTTACGTGGCAAACCGTCATACCTACTTACATTTGTGCTGGAATTACTCTGTGATGGCAGAAATGTGCATAAACTACTTACGGTAGGACGTTTTGCCAAAGCAGGACGTTTTGTCAGAACACCGGAAAACGGAAGTCCATGGATGGAGCTTTTAACAGTTGCTTCTGCGTCCTCTCCAGTAGACTTTGGGATACACAAAGTTATCCCTCATGCTATGGGCCGGGAGACAGTATCTTGAAGCTTAAAAAAGTTTGTTTGATTCTGAGCTAAGTCTCTTTAAGGCACAAAACCTACTATTAGGTTTGTTTTCTACCAAGTCTCCATCACTCCCTCTGACTTACCTCTCACTTCTCTAAGTTGTGTAATTCTGAGATATACAATATAATCTGTAGTCTTTATTGCAGTTTGTCAATTTGTGAGTGTTCTTCTATCCAAGCTTTCTGCATGTTTTCCCAGATTACCAATGATCCACAAGTGTCTGTTCTTCAATTCCCCAAGTCTGGTGGAGGGGTGAGGAGGAGGAAGAGAGACTGGGTTATTCCTCCACTCAGTGTTACTGAGAATAAGAGAGGAACCTATCCCCAAAAAGTAGCTCAGGTATGAGGAACTGAAGGACCTTGTGAAGAATTTGACACTAAAGTGCATTGTAAATGTTTATATGTTTGCTCTGCAGTCAGCAAGTCTTTTCCCCCTATTTTGAATTCTCATTATTGAATCTGCAGAGTTTTCACTTTTCTTGGATGTGTCTTTGTCATAAGCTGACCTTGTTAACTTTAGTTGAGTAAAAATATGTACATTTTTGGTGAAAGAAACGTTATTTCTTAAATACAGATCAAAAGTTTATTTCCTATTTACGATAATGAGAGCAAGATATTAGCAGTCAACAATAACTGTCCCACACCTGGGGGAAAAATTAGAATAACAGATTTATCCTAACCAGAGACCACATACACACATACAGAGTCATGTTTCACCCTATTTACATACAGTTGAGCTTAATTTGTCTCACCATAAATGTATTGATATCCACTGCAAGGAAAGAAAGTAAAATGTTTAGTCATATTTTGTGTTTGAAATTTCAGCGTTTAAATGCTAAGCCTGGTCCTGCTGGAAATTTCTTCCTGTTAAAAGTGGTTTCCCTTCCCACTGTCACTAAGTGCTTCCAGACCAGCTGATTCTTGAGGTTCTTTCTCAAATATTGTAGTATCTTTAGGCGGCTTTTGTTGTGAATTGGTACAATATAAATAAAAGTGAATTGGGGGCCACGTGAGCTCAGTGGATGAGCAGGCGACCACACGTCACATGGCTGCAGTGCAGCAGTCTGAGTTTGACGTGCAGCGCTTTCCTGTGTGTGTGTTTCCCTTCTACTTCTTCCCCGTTTTCTGTGTATCTTCACTGCTACATTATCCAATTAAGGTAAAAGATGATATTATAGAAAAAAAAACATTAAAATGGTTAGCACCAACAGTAAGCTAATTAGTTAAAATTAGTAACTGTAGCTTGTCTTCTGATAAAAAAAGAAACACATTTAAAAAATCCCAAGTGCTTAGAGAATCTAGCAATCTTGTTGATTTGAGGAATCTCTTGATATTTTTGAAGATGAACTTCCACAGCTTCTTTATTGTTGCATAACCTTTACCATAGACAGTGAGAGTGATCTAACTCAGTCCTGTGTGTTTTTTCCAGATCCGCTCTAGTGAAGATAAAACAAGGAAGCTCTTTTACAGCATCACTGGTCCTGGAGCTGATCTGCCTCCTATTAATCGTTTCATAATGGACAGAGAAACGGGCAATCTGTATGTAACACAACCACTCGACAGAGAGGAAACAGCCAGTTACACGGTAATCATCCTCACTTTGTCCAAATGTGTTCCAAAGTGAGTATGTTTTAAAGATCACTTAATAATAAAAACCTTTATCCTGATTATTCTATCATGTTGTTGTTTTTTGTAACATCGTGTGTTTCAGGATCATATTGAAATTAATTCAGTTTTTTAATCAACTACAGACAATACTTCACAGTTAAGAAATAAGATTCTTGATGTGCAGTCTGAAATGTTCAGTTTAGATGAGTATTAAGAGTCTTTACTAGTCTTACTAGGTTTGTTAAACCTTTACAGCTGGACATTGCAGGTCTTTTTGGCTGTTTTGAAATGGAACACACAAAAACCCTTTTGAGAGACAGAAACAAGAAGTCAAGTGACGCCTCACAAAACCTACTGTAAATGAATCAAATGTGTAGAGTCAAGACAATAAGTCTTTTCATTTCATTTTATTTCTAGAATTTTAAAAGAATTCAATTCATTTTATATTAAATTCACCAGTCACACTGAAATCTTTACCTTGTTTGTATTGTGTGTAATGTTGAAGGCGTAGAGATAAGTGAATCAATTTAAAGCTGAATCAAACATGCTGAAATCTTCTGTCTGTGTAGTTTGAAGTACATGTTGTGGTAGAAGGAGCAGGACAAGCTGAGGATCCCATGGAGATTATAGTCATTGTGATCGACCAGAACGACAACAAACCTTATTTTACGGTGGAGTACAACGCAAATGTTGCTGAGGCCACGGCCATCGGTATGTTTAAACATATTTTTGACATTATTTTGTTTTTTGAGATATTGAACAAGCAAACTTGTTGGCACTTATTTGCAGTTTTCTTTATTTTTTAAAACTATCTACAATTCTCATCAATAGAAATCAATGTAGTGCAGAGGTTTAAATGCAATGAATTTTAAGATAACCTTCAGAAAATTACAATGTGGGTTGGAATGAAATTAGACTTTTTACGCTAACTCTATTTTGATTTAATAAATTCTTAAATGAAGCAGTGTGAAGACCTTCTAAAACTTCTGCTCTTTATTTCCTTTTTCTGAATTCCTCCACTCCAGGGACTGAGGTGGTTAGGGTTGAGGCCAAAGATGACGATGAGCCAAATACTGACAACTCAGAGCTCCGCTATCGTATTCTGAACCAGGACCCACCGCTGCCCACTGACAACATGTTTGAAATCACCCCAATTACTGGAAGCATCAGAGTCACTGGTAGAGGATTAGACAGAGAGGTAAGACTTGTTAAACATATTTAACGTACAAGTGTCCTTTTACGCCTAAGTACTGAAAAAGCATTGTATAATGAATCAGGATCAGTAGTCTGCCTGTCACTGCTAGAAATCAGTCAGAAAGAGGGCACTGCATCAAAACGCTGCTGGTGATTTCTTCAATTGTGAAACTTGAAAATGTTTGCCTTCAAATAAAAGTTTTACTTAATGTTGAAACCAACAGATTTCATGAGGCCACACTTTTACTTTACAGGCTAACAATCTCTATTTCTGGCTTACATTTCACCAGTGGCCCCCAAACCCTGGGCCAAGTCGTTTGGTACCGGGCTGCGAGAGTTGAGGCTCGGGTGTGAAATTCATGGTTTTCAGGGTTTTTATTGTTAACTCGGTTTCCCTGGGTCTTTTTCTGGGGGTTCTTGGGAATCAGGGCTATCCGGCCTTCAGTTAGCCATTCCAGGTGTGGAAGAGGTCTCACTGACAAGCAGCTGGTTCATTTGTACTTATAGGCGTTCACATGGAGTACAGTATGTTTCTTCAGTCAGTAAATGTGAACCACGTCGGGGCCTGGTGCTGTCCAATTCTTCATAGAGACCCTTTCTTGGCTTGTCTGCCACTGTGATGGTTACCCGTACCTGTTCAGGAAAGTTGCTGTTGTCTGTTCTTAGATCCACTAGCCACTGAGCATTGGCGTTATGGGTTGCGTACTTCTATATGCGCTTCAAATATTGCTTTGTCTACAGCCTTGGTGATGCTATTCCCATATTGTTCCCCTGCCATTCTGTTGCTCACCCCTTCAGTGGAGAACAGCTGGTTTATTCTGCTGCCTTCTATTACTCTGGTATAGTTCTTTAAGCAGCTGGCCCAGGCTGTAAGTCATTGTCTGGCAGTTTCCAAGGTCTAAGGTATGGACAGCTTGCTGTACTTACGCACATTCTTCATTGCACCTTTCTGCAGCTCCGATAGTTGGCAAACTTCCCTCCCTGCCACCTTGAGCATACATAGATCAAGGTATGCATGGTATATATCAATCATAGACAAAAAATGCCAGGACTGATTTTTTTTTTTGTCCCAGTCCAGTCTGGCTCTAGTTAAGATAGCTTCAAAGTAACTAGTTACTAGGGAAAGTAACTTTGGTTTTACACGGAATTCTCTTGTTAATGTGTTGCTTCTATAACTTTGACAGTCTTGTGCGCCTTTTACATCAACACAAAAACTGCAGTCGTGGTGCTTTCGATTGTACTCAGAACTCTGAAATTCTGCCTTCTGAATAGGAAGATGTAGGCAACACCAGACTGCAGATGAGCTGCATACAGGGCTGGACTGGGACAAAAAATCGGCCCGGGCATTTTGACTAGAGAGCGGCCCACCATTATAGGAAAAATCATAAAGCCTTTGAATGAAAACAAACACTGTTGTGACAGTGATGTTCACTGTTCTGATGGTATATATGCATCAATCTATCAATCGTTTGTTGTAAGATTCAGATAATTATTTTTTAAAAGTGAGACATTTTAAATGAGAAAAAGAAATAAAAGTATTTCTTTGTGCCCCCCTCTCCCTGTTAATGCCCTACATGCCCCCCTGGCAACACTTTGCTAGACCCGCACCTGCACAGTTACCAGCTGTCAGCTACGTAAAAAAGGATCCTGGTGTTATTTGTCTCTCAGAAACAGTTCATAACTTCCCTTCAACTCATTCATGTCACCTAAAAGGTAAACCTGTTTCTCCATCACAGCTCTGATGATCCAGTAAGGACATCTCCTGGTTTCATCTTCATGTTTCCCTCTCACCAGATAACCAAACTGATATCATGACCAGCAGCTTTTTTCAGCTGTGGCTCCAGCAAACATCAGCTGATACTAGAAATTAATATTAAATAAATTCTAACAACAGCTGATCAAGCTTAAACGTGCTGCTGTTGTTTAGCGCGACATCCGCTGGTTTCCTCTTTCTGGCGCAAAGTGGGCGATAAACAAACAAGAGAGCCGATCAGCTGATCATTGATCAGTTTCATGATTGAAGTAGAAACGGGAGAGGGAGGGGAGAGAATGAAAGAAGAAGAGGCAGCTGTGCAGCAAAGACAGAATAACTCCAGCTTTGTGCCTTTTTCATTGTAGCTGAATTACGGGACAAACTGTTCCTTTTCACCTCAATACGAAACGCGTAATATTTTCTCTGAATACAGACGATTCGTTTTTTACGGGACGGTTGGCAACTCTAATAATTAACCTATGAACAAAATAAAGTTCAACATCAGTAACATAGCACCCACCCAGCTGTATAGAAACTCCGTCATGCTAGCTAGCACGCAGTACGGAAAAAGTCAGATAACGAAAATAAACTCCACCTAAACTTGGTTTATATCTGACCCAGAAGACTGCAGGTCATAACTTCTTACCTGAAGTTCAGTTCACACTTGGACCGGCGGCCGCCTCGGGTCTCTCCTCCTCTTGCCTCCCCTTTCCTTCATCCACCTGCTGGCCTCCACCACTTGCTAATGTTACTGAATCTGTGGAAGCTCCGCGATAGCCACCACACGAAGTAACGAGTAACGGCCTATCTAAATCCCAGTAACGAGTAACGCGTTCCTGATTTTGGCATAATAACTAGTTACCGTGCTCGCTACCACAATAATAACGTAGTTACTGTAATGCGTTAGTCCCAACACTGCTTGGCAGTGTGTAGAAGCAGCAGGTACCCCACCTGTCGAAACTGGGGTGAAGCACACCAAAACCAAAACCTTGGTGAGTCGTGGTCACAGCGTCGACACGTCTGTTTCGAACTTCCCATGCCAAACAAACAGCCTCCTGCTAGCTGGTCAGGGAATACACTATATTTAAAAAGTTTCGACACGGCTATTATTAGTTAATGGCATCAGGTTTACAGGTATTTGTCATAAGCAAAATATAAAATGAGTTTCGCTTCAGCCTTTCGGCAGAGTGCCAAGCCTTCATAGATGAACGACTCTAGTCAGCAGTTTGAAAGCTGTGTGTTATAGAAGTGTGTAAATTGATGTCAGTGTTTCTTCCTTCGTGTTGATGAGCTGATGTCTGTATCTTACCAGAAATATCCACAGTACACTCTGACAGTACAAGCAGCAGATATGGCAGGAGAAGGGTTAACTGGACAAACCAAAGTCATCCTCACGGTGACGGACAGCAATGACAACGCTCCAGTCTTCACTCAGAGCTCAGTAAGTATGAAGTAACTGGAAACTTCCTGTTTAACTGCTGCTTTTTCACTCTGTTAAAGCAGAACATTCATCCTGTATCTAACTGCATTACTAATGTTGCACTCACACATACTGACACAGCAAAAACCCACAATAGAACAAAACATGTCCACAGCATGTGCACTTTAGCAGCTGTTCAACATGTGCTACATTTTGTGTGTAACTTTGGCATTTACATGTGTACAGCCGGCAATGAGTAAAATACTGCTGTCAATTTAAGTAAAAATTATTAAAGAAATTATAATATTTATATCTACATAGTAGAGCTGCCTCCAAGTAGTTGACAACTAGTTGTCACAATTAAAAATGTAGTTATCTATAGATTTTGAGATGCATCAGGGTGCCCTGGTTTGTACAGGGAATAGTGAGTCTTTGACAGCACATGGAAAATATGCTAATATGGTTAAAAACACTTTTGTTCCATTTTTAGTGAATTAACTTTATTTAATAAAATTCCACAGCTGTGCAGTAAGTAATGAGCCCAGTATAATGACACAGACTACAAAATGAGGCCATTATTCTCTATCCCTAATGAGGAGGCTTTAGATCTGTTTTCACACCCATCCTTTATTTTCTCACAGTATACTGCAACAGTTGATGAAAACAAAAAGGATGTTGTGGTGGTTAGGATGATAGTAACAGATGAGGATGAACCACAAACTCCAGCCTGGAACGCCATCTTCAAGATCGTCAGTGGTGATCCTGATGGACTTTTCACAGTAAAAATGGGAACTAACAAACAGGAAGGAATCCTTTCTACTGCAAAGGTACGAAGAAAATCAGGAATTCATTCATAATATTGGAAGATAATTGTCATCAATGAGTATTTTCTTTAGTCGATGGAAGTACTTTCTGTGATTTGTTGTAACTTAACATTGCCAACACCCTTATGGTTTTTTTTCTCTTCCTTCCAACCAGGAGCTGGACTTCGAGAGGGCCAGCAAGCACACTCTGTTGGTTTCAGTGGAGAATGAGATTCCTTTTGCTGGTGTTTCTGTGGTCACTTCTACCGCCACAGTGGTGGTGAGTGTGAGAGATGTGAATGAAGCTCCAATATTTGATCCAAAGGAGACGCTTGTGGTAAAACCAGAGGACCTTGCTGTGGATGAAGCTGTGGTGCAGTACACTGCTTCAGACCCAGACACTGCACGCAAGCAGACAGTCTCGTAAGTCAAACAGGACAAAAAAACGCCTTTTTACTATGAACAAATTTCTCACTGACAGAGACAATGTATCACTAACCTCATAAGTGCCTCAAACATTCAGTTTTTCAGTCAAAAGTACACTATAAAAACACTTCATTAGTACCCAGACTTTGTTTTTTGGCACCTGGCAAACCGACTGAGGGGCTGTAAAAAAGAGGCGTTCAGTTTCCAAACAGGGAATAAAAGTCTGTAAAATGTGTAATATTTCCTTGTAAATTTACATAAATAATAAATTGGTGGAAACAATAGTCGAAGAAAAGAAGTGACTATATATCCGTTGATCATTTGAAGGTAAAACTATAGTATATATATCATTTATTTTTGGCTCCACCCACATGGAAAAGAAATAGTAAAAACTTATATGTGATTACTCATGAAAGTGGCCACTTTCATATATTGTTTTAGGAAGTATCCAAAACATACAAGTTTCATTATATAATTTTTCAAGGGATCTTATATCTGTTTTCACTCTTATATGCTTTTCATACAAGTTTCACAAAAGACAGATACAAACTTTATAAGATTTATATACATCTTTTCCATATGAGCATAGTTGGTTTGGCAAGTGAGAAGTTGTATCTGAAGGGAATGTCCAGACTGCTTCAAGCTGATAGGAGGGCAACAGTGACTCAAATAACCACTAGATATTCATAGGTAGACATGCATAACCATCATATGAAGAGCAGCATCTCTAAATGCACAGCACATTCATCCTTGAAGCAGATGGGCTACACCAGTGAACCATCACAGTGCGGGACACAGTTGTTAGCTAAAAACAAACAAACAAACAAACAAAATACAGTTCACTTGTGTTCACCAGAGTTGGAAAAACAAAGATTGGAAGAATATTGTCTGGTCTGAAGAGTTTTGATTTCTGTTGGATGGTAGGATTGCATTTTGACAAGCATGAAAGCAATGAAAAGCATGACTCCATCCTGCCTTATGTCAACAATTCAGGATGTCAGTAATGGTGTGAAAGATGTGTTCTTGGCACTTTGAGCCTCTTAATACCAATACTAATTCCACGGCCTGCTTCTGGCTGTATCCCTGCCTTCGGTGTACCAATCTTCGTATTGCTGCTTCCAGCAGGATAACACACCGTGTCACAAAACTCAGATAATCTCAAACTGGTTTCTTGAACATGACAGGAACGCTCTGTTCACTGACTACAATTTGCATGATGCTGTCAGGTCAATATAGACCAAAATCTCTGAAGAATGTTTTCAAAATAGGTTCCAGCCCAGTACTACCACTGATTACCAGAGAGAGATGAACTGGTTCTCTCTTTTCTTTTCTTTTTTTAAAACACTTGATGTTAACAATAGATGTAACAATCCTAACAATGCAAAGTGTTGACGTACTTTACAAAAAAACCCACTTTGTATATGTAATTCAAAATAGATGTGGTACACAAATATTTCTAAAATTATTTGTGTACCACATCTATTTTGGCTACCTCTGGCTACCCTCATAGTACATTTGGTTTGCTTATCAAAGCCCCAAATATAAAGAACGTGAGAAGCGTGTAACAGTTCATTTGTCCAATTACAGTTATCATAACACCATGGATTAAACATGAGGGAAGAATTAAGAGATAAAATAATGATAATATTAAGAAGAAATATTAAAAAGAAGAAATATTAAGAAGAAACATATAAGATATTAAGAAGAAAGATAACTATTATTGTCACTCGTGGTCTACACAGAGCTACATTTGCATAATAAAAATACAGCCCGACAAATGTCCAAAATCAAATAACACACTGTGCCATATTGTGAAACATGCTAATTCTAATCATCCTGCCTGCACAGTATTACCATCTTTTCTGTGACTGTCTTGTACAGGTACAAAATAATGAATGACCCTGCAGGCTGGCTGAACGTGGACAAGGACACAGGTCTTATTAAAGTGGGAGCGTCCATGGACAGAGAGGGTATCTTCATCACAAACAACAGATACACTGCAACCATTGGTGCCTATGATGATGGTAGGAGGGAGTTAAAACTGATGCGGATTATTATCATCATTTGACTCTGATGACCACTGATATGATTTCATAAAATGACAAGTGTCTGAATAATTACTCTGGTAAACAAGAGTTTTGCTGTGGCTCTTTCACCTCTACTTTAACAAATCTGTACAATGTCAGAGATGAACATGAGGAAAGAGTTTATCAAGACACAAAAGTGATATCAGGGAAACAAAATGTATTTTATTGTTCACTGGATTAAGGTGTGTGTGTGCACGTGCGCTCGCTCTTTGCAATATAAATTCCAGTACAAACAGATGTTCCTGGCATGCTCACAGCTAATAACATTGTTGCCCTTTGTTAATGGATTGCATTTATATAGCACTTTTCTAGGCACCCAAAGCGCTTTATAATTCCACTATTCATTCACTCTCACATTCATACACTGGTGGAGGCAGCTACAGCTGTAGCCACAGCTGCCCTGGGGCAGACTGACAGAGGCGAGGCTGCCATATCGCGCCATAGGCCCCTCTGGCCATCACCAGTAGGCGGTAGGGTAAAGTGTCTTGCCCAAGGACACAACAACCCAGACAGAGAGAGCAGGGGGATCGAACCGGCAACCTACTGGTTACAGATAAGCTTCCCAATCCCCTGAGCCACGGTCACCGTTTGTTGCAGTACCTTCAATTATTTGTGTGTCAAATATCAGTTATGTAAGAACTGGAAGACCAGAGGAAAGTCTCTGAGGGTTAAAATTTGGACTATATTTCACTTTGTCGATGGAACCCACCTGTGAACATCTGTGTTTGTTCTGTGACCAGATGCAGTCCCAGCTACAGGAACTGGTATTCTGATCATTCAGCTGGAAGATGTCAATGACAATGCTCCCACCATTGAGCAGCATAAAATTATGGTATGTCTTATTTCCCACCAGCTCAACAGGTGTTTTCATCTAACACATCAAATAGTGGTGCAGGATGGGTGTATTTATTGAATCTACCGACTTAAAGATGCGATCAATTAAAAAGTTTAGCCAAGCCCTATGTATGCAGTCATGTGATACAGAATATTAGCATAAAGGCTTTGTGTTTCCTCAGGTGTGCAACAAGGATCCAGCTCCTCAGCTGCTCTCAGTAACAGATAAAGACGGACCAGAATTTGGAGCTCCCTACTCGGTGTCTTTACAGGGCATGTCAAAGACCAACTGGACCGCTAGGATGAATGACACCAGTATGTACACTGTATAAAGTGATGCTGTCCAGTCACATGGCCAGAATGTGAAATATTTTGAAATAGAAACGTAATATATTTCATCACTTGTGTTGAGATTATTTCCTGCGAATATCTGTTTTGGGTTTTTTTAGGAACGGGCATCATCTTGAATTTAGCCGCTGAGCTGCCCAGTGGAAATTACAGTGTTATACTGAGAGTGGCAGACAAGCATGGCTTGGGGCAGGACAACATCATCAAAGCTGAAGTGTGCGACTGCAAGGGAGAAGATTTGATGTGTACTCAGCGTGCTTTAGGTGGCAGCAACCTGCCCATTATTCGGGGAGTACTTGGAGGCATTCTGCTGCTCAGTGAGTTGTGAATGGATTTATAACTTGTAGCCTCTGTTTTCTTTCCCAGCTAAGTGGATTTGGTTGGTTGTTGTGTGCTAAACTTTGTGCTCTGTGTTCAGTGCTGGTCCTGATTGTGCTGTTTGTCAGTCTGAGGAAAGAGGAGCAGAAGGAGCTAACATCTAAAGACAACATCTTCTACTATAACAGAGAGCAAAGTAGAGAGGATGATCAGGTAAATGGACACCAGTTCTGAATGCAGCGTTAGCCTCATCCACGCCTGCAACATCGGCCTCTGTGTCTTCATCAACCTCGTCTGCTCCTGCCTCGTCTGGTCCTGCGGTTGCCACACCGTCATTGGACCCAGCTCGTCCTGTTCCGCCTCGCCTCTGCCGGCCGCTTTCCTTTTCGCCACCGCTGGCTTCGCGGTCGTCCTCCGGACCTGCTCAGTGGTCGCCACTGCCTTCCAAGTGGCCGGCCTCCTGATTTGTTTTGTCTGCACCACCGCCGTTGCCGTGTGCACGGTCGGCCCCCAGAACTGTTTGTACGGTTAGATGTAACGGTTTAGGATTTGTGTTCTCATGTTTTGTGTGGGTTTAGTTCCATGTGTCATTTTCTGTCTGTCTCTCAATGTCGAGTCTGCGTCTTTGTGTAGTGATCTCTTGTTTCCTGTTTTATTGTGAAGGTCTGCGTCTCATGTGAGTGTGTTCAGTTTACCTGCCTTGTCTCGTCTCGTTAATTACTCCCAGCTGTGTCCACCACCTGTAATCTCTCTGTGTTTCTCTGGGTGTATTTAAGTCGTGTCTTCTGTCATTGTAGTTGCTGGTCCGTCTGTGTATCTACCATGTTCCTTTCGTGTGTTCTCCCTGCTGTCACCGTCATATACCATCTTCCGTCTTCCTTCATGTTCAGGTTCGTGTCCTTGTTCAGGCTCAGTAGTTTAGTTGTCCAGTATAGTTTAGTTCTCCGTTTACCATTTGTCCATCTATATTTTTGTGTTTAATAAACCACCCTCACACCTTTGCAAGTGCTTGCGTTTGGATCCTCCTTTATTTCTTCCACACGGCTCATCTCACTCACCGTGACACTTCCGTTGTGTTTTGGAGTTTGTATGTGCTTTGTCTCTAGGGGCCACCGTATGTGACTGATGCAAGCCAGATCCTTTTATTTAGCAAAACTGTGATTAATAGTTAAATATTATTGTTGAGGGGCACAGACAGGACTCCACACGTACACTTAAAAAAAAAAAAGAAAAAAAAAGAAATTGCCTCAACAAAAGGGCACTGTGGGCACCCATCAGGAAAGGGACAGGTGCTCAAGCCCGTCCCGCCCCACCCCGCTCTGCACGTGCCTGATTTTAAGTATAAAATGGAATCCTGTTGTTGCATAGAGAACAGAAGTGCACCAAAAGTTTGTGGTCACGCGACCTGTGTGCTTTGAACTGCGTTTCCAAACATCTGCGCTCGACACATTGTCGAAATGTCAGTATCTGCAGAATGTGGCTTGCTGAGCTCAGACTCAGAGCACTGTTGGTAATATTGCTGCCAGCTCCTACTATCTGCTGTGTATCTGTGAAGTCAAGGGCGTAGATTTCGTTTTGGCATTGGTGGGGACGAATGATTCCGTTTTTTTTCCCTTTTGTCTTTGCTTCTTGATAACAAAAGGAGAAATGTACTTGCCAACATATGCTATTCTACATGCTTTTAAACCATTTAAAATTACAATTGATAGTTTTATATGTGAGTTATATAATGCTAAATTACAACTAAACAAATGACTAAGTATTTTAGACTTTGGTTTACTTCAGCTATATTCAATATAAATCAGGTATCACACAAAAATAAAAATAACTTCATATTGAGCAGGGCTGGACTGGGACAAAATATCGGCATTTTGACTAGTGACCGGCCCACCATGGTATTATAGGAAAAGTCATAAATCCTTTGAAGCCTTTATAATTAAACTTAAACCTACACCACCTTCCCTATTCTGGTATTCTAAACAGTAACACCTCATTTATAATTACATATACCTACAACTAAAAGGGTTGCCAACTCCCAGAAAAAAAAGAAAAAAATTAGGGAACCACTCCCCCACCCTCTGCCTCAAGATGCTTAACTAACAAAACCGATTTAAATTTAATGCACGTATAAAACAAATGCACACAAATCTATTATTTTTCTCCAGTAATTAAATAGATTCAACATCTTTCTTCAACAGAATTGCAGACTGCACAGAAGGTACCTTAACAAAGTAAAGAATACTATAACTTACTAGGGTATATACTAACGAGACTTAATATTTACTGAATACAATAATGGATTTCTATACATTTTACATCAGATGAAAATGTTGGTTGAAAGATTCAGATAATTATTTGTTAAAAGCGAGACATTTTAAATGAGAATAAGAAAGAAAAGTATTTCTTTGTGCCCCCCTCTCCCTGTTAATGCCCTACCTGCCCCCTGGCAAAACTTTGCTAGACCCGCCCCTGCACAGTTACCAGCTGTCAGCTACCTAAAAAAGGATCCTGGTGTTATTTCTCAGAAACAGTTCATAACTTCCCTTCAACTCATGTCACCTAAAAGGTAAACCTGTTTCTCCATCACAGCTCTGACGATTCAGTAAGGACATCTCCTGGTTTCATCTTCATGTTTCCCTCTCACCACATATCCAAACCGACATCTTGACCAGCAGCTTTACAGCTGTGGCTCCAGCAAACATCAGCTGATACTAGAAATTAATATTAAATAAATGCTAACAACAGCTGATCAAGCTTAAACATGCTGCTGTTGTTTAATGCGACCTCCGCTGGTTTCATCTTTCTGGCGCAGAGAGAAAAGCCGATCAGCTGATCATTGATCAGTTTCATGATTGAATTAGCAACTTTCTAGCTGAAGTAGTGCGGGACAAATCGCGTTCCTTTTCACCTTAACTTTAAAGTTTGACCTCCTCGGCTGTAATTGGTCCAGGCCAGAGTCGATCATGACCAACTGGCCAATCCACCACCGTTCATTTATACCGTTAAAAAAAGAAAAGGAAGAAAACCCCATCGGCCCATAAAAACGAAAAATCACGAGCGGCCCACTGGGCAAATGCCCGGTATGCCCGATGGCCAGTCCAGCCCTGAAATACAGTCATGACAATAAACATGAGTTCAAGGACTTAACAACATTACTTCAGTTATGTTGTCAGTGACCTCGCCTCTCCACCTCTGTCTGAGCTACAACAAGGCAGAGCTGCCTCTGTCACCTGATAAATAACAGTGAGACATTCAAATACATGTAGTCACACATGTGCTTCAAATACAGTCATTGAAACAACAGGTCATCATCCAATTCCACCTGTGATCTTGTGTCACCATTGCTCTCTGAGCTTTGTGTTGGTTCTTCTGTCACCTGACAAATAGGACATACATGACAATAAGAATAAAATGTGCAGCTGCTTCAGTGTTTCTGTCAAATTGTGCAGATCTTGACTCATCAGTAATGTTTGTAGTGTGAGTGCATTTTTACAACAATTTGTGCAAACTGCACTGCAAGGTGGAATATTTGCAAAATCGTGACTACCTCATGATATTTTGTCTCAAAAATTAACCCTATGAATATGTCAGTACCATTAGGATAAAATTGTCACCAACATTTTGACTTTAGACGTATAATTTTAACAGCCTCTGTAAACTAATATCCTGGCTCGCTCGAGGCTCCATTTTCTCCGACAGCTTCAATCAAAATTAGAAATGCTGCTCTTGGAGTGCTGCCTGTTGTGCAGTTAGTTTCCAAAACACGTTATTAATGGGTACATACAATTTTAGACTAATGTGGGCCAAAGCCTAGCATAGCCTGTAACATTATTATGACGGACACATTTTATGGGTGAACTTGAGTTTAAGTGACTTACAGGTTTCTTTGAAAAATACTTTCTTATATCCAGGTTCTTCCTTTTTGCTGCCATCCTCCTCTCCTCCTGGCAGCGCAGGCTTGCCGCTGCTAAAACTAAACAGAGCTCACTGAAAAGCACAGCCAATCACATTGGCCATATTTCTCACATGACGCAGGACTCAAGTAGAGAACATAATTTAACTCTTTCTGCACCGCTGGGTGAATGAGACGCTGACAGATGTTTTTTTGTTTTTTCTTTCTATCGGGTTGTTTTTCTTTACTCAAAGAGATCAAATTATTGGTGGGGGCAATTCAATAATTGCCGGATATTGGTGGGGACATGTCCCTTCCGTCCATGCCAAATCTACGCCCTTGTGTGAAGTACTCAGGAACAGAAACAGAAACTACCATGTTATGTCTCTTTACGCATGACGGAACCAGGGTGTTGCGCACCTGTAACCTGACATCATCTGCTGAAAGTACTTAAACTTACTTCCATCCAGCTCACACCCAGTTGCTGAAGCTACACTTACGGTGCGACAGGAAGAACAGGAATATTAAAGAGGGGATTTGGAGAGATGGGGACCGCTTGGTTTGCGGTTTTTGGCGCTTTAGTCATCGTTTTTCAGGTGAGACGTCTTCCTTTTGTTATAATTAATTTCTGCCATTTTCCATTCTGTTTAAAGTTACTTAAAATAAATATGGTTAATGTTACATTACCTGCTGCAATTAAATAACATTAGATTCATTTTCATGTGGAAAGCACCAAGTCAAAACAACAGTCACCTCAAAACCCCAGCGATCTAAGAACCACCTAGGAGCAAGTACTTGGCGACAGTGGCAAGGAAAAGCTTCCTTTTAACAGGAAGAAACCTCCAGGAGATCCAGACTCAAGGAGGGGCAGACACATTTGTTGTGTTTATGCATCAAGTAACCTTTTATTGTAAGAAGAACACTTTTATTAGTCATAGCATTTGCTGATACTCTTTAAATGGGCCGAAAAAACTTGTGCAGGATTTAAAAACTAATTAATCTGTTTCACAGGCATAGCAGGCTTTTTTCCCCATATCCCTCCACGTTGATTCCCATTATTCCACTGATGACGTTGTGCTTTGTAGTTTTATTGTTTCCTCTGAAAAATGGCATATACACATGTCTTAAAGTATTCATATTATGCGATGCAACAAAAGTATTTTAATTGTTGTTTAAAATGCCAGTTATAGTTATTGTTATATTGTCTTGTGTTATTCAGTTACTCTTATTTTCTCTTGCTTATGATTAGTCACTTTATTATTACAGGTCCAACCAAAATACTCTTTCTCCTCTTCTAGGTCTCATCACCAGAAATAGCTGCGAGGTCGACATGTGTGCCTGGATTTGAGTCAGAGCT